GACAAGGATCAGGTGCATCTAGTACACGACAGAGCACAGCGGGAGGGCCTTTATGCTGCACAGTGTGACTCGCAGCAGTGGTCCCGGGTCAGCCCTGACTGTGTGTCAAAGTAATATTGGTATTTCAACTTTATCCTTTCAACAGCAACCGAAGGTTAAGGGACCTAGCTTGTATGACCCCTATGGGATATTCCTATAGAGGTGCTCCAGCTTCAAACTGCATTACCTGGAAATACAGTTTGAAGCTGGAGGACCTGAAGCTCAGTAAAGCACCCCACCGACAGCCAAACCCATCTGTTCTCTGATTGGATTGTTATATTTGTGATTGACCAATCAGCTGAAAGCAAGAAAAATTCGTACTGGTAAGCTGAAACTCAGCATAAACGTATCTGTGAGCAGACCTTAACAAAAACAGTTTGTAACAAAGTCTCATCTGTGGATGCACAAACAACATTTTCTGATATTTTTGGTTACAAGGTTACAAAATCCAGCTCACAACTACACATTTGAGTTACAAGTACAAAATATTTATGACCACAATTTGAGCCCATATACTAGTCATGGATATTTCCTTTGAGAGGAACAATTAAAGAATAAGTAGGTCTGTATGAAGCTCTAGTGTGAGCTGATCCATGAGCAGATTGGAGTGCGATAGCCTGATGTCCTAGTCTGATGTCCTGAGTGTGAGCACACACACACACACACGGAGGCTGTCGGAGACGAGCCGCTCAGCTGTCAGCTCGGCCACATGTGGCAGATGAGGCGCTCAGCAATCTCAGTGACAGGCACAAGATGTCCCGGACTGCCAGGGGCGTGCACGCTGACACTGACGTGCATGCACACGCCCTGCGTAAAATGTAGCTCAAACAGATGCGAATCATGCCTAGTGGTCAAATATATGTTTTTAGGGATGAACAGGTTGCTGTAGAGGACAAGGCGAAAGCAAGCGAGCGATCTCTTGACATTTTAACTAATCCCTTCTAGCTTGTGGTTTCTTGCACATTTGTTAGATTTGCTAGCAGCCAGGATTGGCTTTTTCACATATGCAACCTGTCATGTCAGATTGGACGATGACATGGGACAGACCAGGGATGTGATGGCTGGAACACTGAAACGGACTGTGATTGGATTCAGATGACACCACCGGCTCGAGGCTACCGGCCTTTCTCGGGCTCTAGAAGTAGATTCTTTAACTGCTTTGGTGTCTCACATGTTGGCAAACCTCACACCGTGAACCCGGCAGCGTTTTCGAGACTTCCTGCGATACGGCCACACGGACGTCCCTCCTACTGAAAACCTCTGTTATTGTTTTAAATCTCTTGATAAGCGTCGGCTTGCAGTCTTCAACCTATAAAAACCTTTTTATTGTGTTCCAAGGTAGCAGCAGGTGTTGCACGCATGTTTGCATGCTTGTTGGGTGAGGTGTGATTAGTCACAAACCAAGTTTAGGGTGACATTTAGGATTTCCTGTGACTCTGCTTGTTTGTTTACGCACACAAGCCCGGGAAGGCCACAGTGGCATTGCGTGATTGGCGTGAGGGAACAGCCCGTACCTGTCATGGCCCCGTGTTTGGTGGCTCTGGGCAAACACACGGTACCTGTCAAAAGCAGTTAGAGCCCCGTTCAGCAGCCTGCCCTGCACGGCATCCCGTCAGACGCCAGCTGAACTTTTCACTTGTCAATTCTGAAAGGTTAGCGCTAAAATCAGCAGCGACAGATGCAAATGGATGGATGCTTTCCTGGCATTTCTGCGCAGGGATGCTTCATGTCGCCTCGACCACCTTGTCTGCCCCCTCCTACCTCCGCTCTACTCTGTCATGGCCTCTCGTTAGCCCCTCTGTTACCCTTTCAGAATACATCTGTCTGTGCAGACGGGCAATACCTCACCACTTCAGGCTTCAAGCTTACTCCTATTTCGGGGGGATGTTTACCCAGTTGATGTTCTCCTTCATAGTCTGTTTTAATTCAATTTGTTCTTAGTTATTAACTGTGCATGAATCCTTGTTACCAAAGGTGTTGCCATACAGTTATATGTATGGCAGGGTATTATGTTTGGCTGTAGTCTAATCAGAAACCCTTTCGTGACCAAGCTGTGATTTATAACCCAGATATTTAGTTAGTTTTGTAAAGAAGAAAACAAAAATCTAGACATTTTCAGTTTACAGCTCCTCCACACACATCGTAAACTCCCTGACTTTGTACTCTGGGTCTGAAGAAACCAGCCGTTTGTAGCTTGTTGTTTTTATTTGTTACCATTCTTTATATTTTTGGGTGTTTTAAAAACTGAATCAGTAAAATGAATATGGGGCAAAAAAATCAAAACAAAGAGCAACAATAACCAAAATTTGATGCAAATTGCTGCCATCATGGATCGTAGACCTCCAACTCCATACTTTGCTGGTTGCATCTCAGTCTTTCTCTGTTGAGCGTCCCGGGACACTCAACAGAGACACCTGCCGCACCACCGGCGACTGAAAGACGAGCCGTCTTCACTCGTTTTCAGTTTAGTTTGAGGAGCCCTCTGAGTTTTTACTCCAAATATTTTTACTGAGTTATTATGAATACAGTTTACAAAAAGAAAAGAAAAAAGGGAAACACGAAAACTGGTTACATTGAATAGAAAAAAGCTTCTCATGTTAGAACATAAGTAAAGGAAAAGAAAACAAACAAACAAAAATTAACAAAACAACACAACTGCGATTAATACGAACACACCCTTTCCTTATAAAGCCCACAGAAGTTAGCTGCAGCACCACTGAGCTTCATTAACCCCTTAGCAGTCCAATTAGTCCCCTAAACCATCCAATGTCCCGTGGGCGGTACGTCCGACTGCTAAGGGGTTAACAAGCCCTCGACGGACCCGTATGGAGTCATTTTGATTCATTAACTCGAGCTCTGCTTTACTGACTTACCTCCCCGACTCTTACCTCAGTCTGATTTTGGTGAACTCTGCTGTTGAGCCCTGGGCTGGCCGGGAATTGAACCCGACACTCACTGCCTAAAGGCATGTGACTGTCGTGTTGCCCTGATGTTTTGCTTTCACTGCTTCTTGTTTTTCATTTTAGCCTCGATGAAATGTTTTTGTTTGTAAATATTCTCCATCAACACAAGTGACTTACAGACATTTAAGTTGTTCTGTTTGTGTTCCAGGTGGAACTGAAGATGAAGTACAATGACCTGCACTCTAAGTCCAGAGGTCTTCTCCCAGGCAGTCGCTGGTATGAGATTCAGGCCTACAGAGCCCTGAACCAGGCCCTGGGGAGGTAAACCTCTGCAGCTGCTTCAGATTTAAAACTGAGCCTTTTGCACTTTTAAACGAAAACTCCAAACTTGATTTTACAGGTGCATTCGCCACAGGAATGACTGGGGAGCTCTAATTCTGGTGGATGATCGGTACAGGAATAATCCTAATAAGTACATCACAGGTACTCTGCACTATTCAGCCGCCCACTTTTACCACTAGATGGCACTGGTTATCCACTGCAAGATGTTTGCTAGCACTTGTCTCTGTTGTGTGTCTGTAATCTCAGGTCTGTCTAAATGGGTCCGCCAGCTTGTCCAGCATCACAGCACCTTCAGCGACGCAATGCAGTCTTTGGTTGCATTCTCTCAGGTGCAGAAGAAGATGGATGGGGCTCCTGCTGACAGGCAGGCCATCAGCTCTACTGTCTCGTCTCCCAGCAGCCACCTAGCAGCCGCTGCAGAGGGACATAGTCTGCCTGAGGCTTCAGAACCTCAGATACCTATCTCAAGTGTCAGACTACCTGAACCCCAGCAGCACTCAAGCCCCTCAGCCGACCTCGTTTGTTCCCATACACAGTTGAAAGCTGAACAGAAAGAAAAAGCAGGTGAGATTGATGGATCTGTTGAGAGAGGAATTTTCGGGAAGATCAATATCTCTTTAAAGTCTTATTGAAGGACCTAAAAAATACAGCAGGTATAGATCTCGGATCATCAAAGCTGGGCTCTGTCCTCTCTGTTAAGGCCTGTCCAATAATGCTGCCTTGAATGGTACCGAGAGGTTTACATGAGCAGTAACGACGAAGTAACTGAGGGCCAAGTAGCAATGGAGGCACCCATAGTGTTTCCACCCTTTTCTTGTGCATATCATCCTCTTCTTTCTTCTTCTGCACTCGGGAAAATGTTTGAAACAGTCCTGATTTTTCTTGATTTATTTTTGTCTGTGCCCCGATACTTTGCCACCAGTGACATGAAGAAGTATTCCAGCTCAGGACTTATTTTTCATTAAAAATGTCAAAAACCTCCAAAGAATCACAAAAGTTATTATGTGGATTTTTAAAGGGATGTGCTAAATCAGTGGCAAAGCTTTAGGTTATCAGACCTGACTGTGGTGTGCTGCATTGTGTAAAAGCATACTAAATGTGACCAATAGGCTGTACAGCAGTAAGAAACACGTGCCAATCAAATTCATGTTGCTTTAATGCGTCTCTTTTACCGGCACTTACGACGCCTTTAAAAAGATGAGTGAAGTAGCCGTGATGTCCGTGGACTCTCATGCATATGTAGAAAAAAACACGGAGAAGGGGCTTCGTTACCGTACAGGCTATAGAGCTCCACCGAGACAGAGTGGGTTCGTTTCACAGTTCCAGTCTTTCACATCTGTGTCCAACGATCTTGGGTGACCTGGTAGTCAGGTTGTTGCGTATCACACAGACTCCCTGATTTGAATTCCGGTTGGCTGAATGTCCTCACTTGTGTTTCAAATGTGTAAATAAAGGTCAGAAATGAGAGAGATTTCTACCGCTTTCAGACGTCTTTTTCCTTCAGCAGATGTGTGGAAGGAGGTAATGTTAGATTTGCACGGTGTGAGGCAAGTCCAACTTAATTTTTCATGAATCGTGACCTTTTATGCACAGACGCTTTTGAAAGACGGGGATCAAAAGGTGCGTATCGTTTTTGTCAAGGGTGTGCCGGGGCATGACATCACGCGGAGGAAATACGCCGAGGTGACGTGTTTGCACATCGCCTTGGCGACGCCCATTGTCTTTGGGGTCATGACGAGGTTGAGCTGTTAGTCTGTTTGAGTTCAGTGTGGTGGATAGAGTGGTGGAGGAGCAGTAGCCCCCCCCACCCGTCATAGTTGGGAGTGGACGTTGGGGGCGGGGGCCATGGGATCAGTTGAGTGGCTTGCCTCATTACTGTAAGGTCTTTTGCATGCCTGAGTGGCGCTGGAGCGAGCTGATGAGCAGATGTTGGACTGTTGCTTTTAATTAAATCCTCTTAACCTTTGTTCGGGCTCTATTGAGCGTATGCTCACGTTTGCTATATCTTTCTTTATCAACTGACTGCTGACAGTCTCAAAACCTTGTCAGTATAAACGTGTGTTCTGTCAGTTTCGAGCTGCTTTAAGGAGAAAAAGTGTCCTCGTGAATGTTAAAATATGTCATTTTCTTTCCATGATGCAGACCAGTTGAAGAAGCAGCACCGTCCCTCAGAAGAGCCTCTCCCACTTCAAAAAAGAGCAGCGCTGCCTCTGTTCTCCATTTTCACCTCCAGCCCCACCAACCACACCTTCAGGAAGCCCATTTTTAAAAGAAGTGCACCGAGTAGTCCTGGCCAGGAAACCTCCAATTGTTGTGACGACAAAGAAAACCAGCAGATCGCCTCTGCATCACTGAAGACTAATGGTTCAGCCAGAGGAGACCAAACCAGTCTGGCTCCAGAGCCCGCTCCAGTAACGGCCCCGCCCAGCTGTGAAAACGAACCACCTGCAGCAGGCAGTTCAGACGAAGACGAAAAGGACCAGACTGTGTTTTTTACTCCAGAACTTTTTGAGGGTGAAGGAGATGAAGGCGGTGCACAGGAGGAGACGAAGGCAGAGTCACTTCCAGAGTCGGTCCAAGGAGCAACGAGCACAGCCTCGGTGACCGAAGAGCTCCTCAGCTCTGAGCAGACCCACGTGCGAGGGCTCGCCTTGGCTCTGGATGGACAGAGTGCTGTTTCAGTCAGTGAGCAGAGCGCAGGACTGTCGCAGGGGAAGGAAGAAGTCAGAGGACAGAAGCAGTATGAGGAGGGAGAGGGTAGACAGAGAGGCAGCAGGCTGTCCAGGTCCAGACAGAACGTTTCCTCCACTCAAACAGGTCTAACTACTGCTCAGCAAGACGAGGCAGAAGGTCCTACACTACAATAAACATTCAAAACATGGAAACCAGATTCATGTTAAAATCAGCTGAGGTGCAATAGAAAGCCCTACATTCAGTTCATCATTTAGTCCTGTTTAATGATGTGTTTGTAGATTATGGGTGAGGAAGGGGAATGTTTTAGATGTCTGAGTGAACCAAAGACGGGCCTTTTTCAGTCTCATTTACAACCATGTAATTATTTGTTGTAAGTACAAATATTTGCATAAACTTTGTTAGTTCACAATAAAATTGTTCATCTCTATTCGTGTGGTGATTTTGTGACAATTTCTTTTAGTTTGATGTTTTTGTGTCTGTTTCAAACAGATATGAGTCTTACGGCGCTGGCAGCAGGTAGGTTGTGTGTTTGTCATAGCTGAGTAAAGCTGGTTATTTGAAATAAGAACATAAACAGCTGTCAGTTTGTCACTAATTTGAACTTAAACTAATATTAATGTCAATAGTTGTCCTCTTCAACATGGCTGAGCAGCCATCAGTCCAGGCAGGCGAGTCAGAGTCATGTCAGCTCACGAGCGACGTAGAAACCAGTTTGATCTCAACTGGGCCAGATCAGCAAAGCTAACAGCCACAAGGTTTCGCCTTTGCAGCGCCAAGTTGGACCCCTGCTGCGTCAGAACTGTTGAGCCTTCATGGCGTGGAAACTGCTCTGAGATTTTACAAACATGCTGACTGCACAGCCTCGGCGTCTCTTGTTCCACGGTTCGTTCCTGCGGCGCTGCCATTTGAGTCCAGTGGACTTAGTGTTATGTTAAGAAAACACTTTCAGATGATTTGAGCTTCGTAACGTGGCGCCTTATCCTGCTGAACGCAGCCACAAAAGCTGGTTACGCTGTAGTCGTAAAGGGATGGGTGTGGTCTGCAAAAGCGCTCAGATAAGCTGTGGTATTTAAACGATGCTCAATTTGTACTAACGGGCCCAAAGTGTATCCTCTACACCTTAAACCACAACCAACCTGACCCACTGACACAAGGCACAATGGATCCATGTTGTAAAGTCTGAGCCCACCATCGGATGATGCAGCAACACATCATTTGTAGCCTCAGACTCCAGGAGTAACAGCTGCTGTGTTCACAGATGCTCTTCTGCATATTGTAGTTTTTTAAATCTTTGATTCAAGCAGATTCTCTACAGATAGAAATCGTTTTTAGACGTCTGCACATCTGTGTAGTGCTGGTATCACCACAGTAGTGACCAGAACACAATTTATTGGAAAAATGGATTAATTAATAACTTCATCTACGGAAAACAATCTACTGGACTGAAGTGACGAGTCAGCATGGCCACCAGGCCCAGGGCTGCTCGACGTCCCTGCCAAAACATCCAAACCGCTCATCCAGATGAGGCTGGCATTGTCCCACTTTTCCAGCATCGCGCACTATTCAACAACAGCAAGTACAGCCGGTAACGTTCAGAAGGAAGTCGATAAAGAGTGAGTTTGTTGTCCCATCCCTGCTGTGGTTCACTAGTTATTGACACGATCATTTCCATAGATTTGATTTCACTTCTGTGTGACTGACTCGCAGTTTGACGGTAACTCCTGCCGTCATCCTCCAGTTGTAGAGGAACAATTGGTATTTGTGGCTCGTGCGTGTGCATAGCAGACTGTGTGCAATCAGTGTAAAGGTCAGCCTTGAGTGTTTGTGTCAAAAGAGGGCATGTCGTTTAATCAAAGCAATGCTAAATACAGAATCATCAAACGGGCCGAGTTGAAAGGAGGCAGAACGATGACATTAAACGTGATTACGCTGATGTGATTCGTCTCATTACGGGATGAGCTTCACCAATGTGTGATTTGCACAGACGAGCAGAGTCGACAAGTGTTCCATTAAAGCCTTTCTTTGCTCGTCAGCTGCCTACCCAAGACCCTTCTACATGTAATCGTGCATGACCACTCGTTAACATAATCAAAACTCGGAGCGCGGAGAGGCCGGCGAATGTGTGTTAAAAGCACTTAATAGGGAACCCGCATTACAGGAAGGCCCAGTAATGGCTGTGGATGACTGTGTTCTTTGCCATTAACCTAATTCAGCCTTTTCCCTAACCAAGTCATTAAAGTTACACTATAAAACATTTTTATTTAAGAGACACACACTGGAGCCAAAGTCACAAATTGGAAGTGCAACAGAAAAAGCAGTAATTTTACAGATTTTTGCTGCTTGCCTAAATTCAATTTTGGTGCTGGGAATGGTCTGTGCCATCAGAGGTTTTCGATAACGTGCTCTTTCTGCTCGTTCCACACTTTTTAAATTATTGTGATGGTGAAGCAAACTGCAAACAGTCATTACCCCCAGTTTGGACTCTGCTTTTAAATTAAGCATAAAACTCATAGCAGCGCTGGGTAAGGTCACCCTGCTGAGGGTCTTCACGGGACGCTCTGAGCGCTTCTTCACTCGCCCTCCCTGAGCTCTTTTCCTCTTTCTGTCCCATTGTCATCAGGTGCTTGTTTGTATGGGATCGTGTGAGCTTTCTTTTTAATACTGCAGCAACGTGCTTTAGAAGTTAAAGCGCCTTGTCGTGACTGCTGCCAGCAAAGGGTGGGTAGGCTGTCAGGAGTCATGTAGAACATTAATGTCCTCAGAGAAGTGATGCATGTAAGATTGAGCTAATTTGCATCTGCACTGCCTGGATGGGTGAAGGAACCAATGAAAAAGCATAAAATCCCATTATTAAGGAGCAAATGTGATCTAATAACTCAGATACCAAGTCCCATACATCAAATACGTCCGAAAAGTTATTTATTAAGAAATACGTCTAAAAGAACAATTATAACCTGTTAGATGATCAATGCTGATCTAACTTTTTGGTCATCTGGTTTCACACCAAGTGAGACAAAGTGGAACTAAATGCTTGTTTTCAAACGCTCAGCGACTTCATGCCAGAGCTGCTTACGTTCCCTTGTTGAGCCACTGATCTCAAAGCTCTGGATGTGTGTTCAAAGCAAAGCTTGGGTGAAGTCAAATCACTTTATTTAGATAGCATGTAGTTCTTTCTTCCATAAGGTGTAAATAGAGCATAAAATATCTCAATATCAAAAACATAGAAACTGAAAAACACAAAGTAAAGGCACAGAACTCCAAGCAGACGCTGCCTGTTTGTGCTTTTTATTTCGCCTCACTCGCGCGCCTGTGAGAAAGACGAGCGCTCGGACTCGGTAAAGCCAACAATGCCAACAGTCTCATTTTTATAGTGCAGTTTTATAGCAACAGAGCCCCTTCATCTATCAACACGCTGCTTGGCTCTCCTGCAAGTCACATTTTGTCTGCAGTTTGTCGGATTCAGAATTTCAGGTTTTTGTCCAAATGTTTGCCCTGCTGAAGACAACTGTGGGTATTTAATGTGGGCTTTTTGCATCAGCACTGTCGCCTCACAGCAAGAAGGTCCTGAGTTTGATTCCACCACCTGGCTTTCTGTGCATGTTCTCCCCGAGTCTGTGTGGTTCTCTCCAGCTACTCTGGCTTCCTCCCACAGACTGAAGACATGCAGTTAGTGGTCGTTCTAAACTTCCCTTAGGTGTGAATCTGAGTGCGAATGGTTGTCCGTCCGTCTCTGTGTGTTAGCCCTGCGACAGACTGCAGGCCAGGCGTACCCTGCCTCTCGCCCTGTGGTAGCATTCGGCCCTTCTGTGTGCACCACTGTGCTTAAACCACACAGATATTTGTTACCTCCCACCACCAGTTTAGTACCAGGTTTGCAGGTCAAATGCTTGCACGGGCCTTTTAGTCTTTGCTTGCATTTCAAGAATTTTAGTCTTACTGAATAAATAAGGAAAAAAGGAAATGATCAGGAAACATTTGTGTTGTGTCGCCTCTGTTAAGTTTTTTATTCAGATTTCTTGCAAAAAAGATCCGAATTACAAGCAGACCGTTTGTCTTGTTCACTTTGTTGTTCACAGTGTAGAGAGCATGCCGGAGCAGGCTGGATGTCGTCAACAGGAAGGCGAGTCAGAGTGAAAGCACTCTGTCTCTGTCTCGTCCTCCAAACGTAACGCATCGATATCTTTGACTCGTATGTGTGTGTCGAATCACAGTGAGACATTTTTCTGCTCAGGTTGGGATTTTGTTTCTACTGTAAAGAGATTAAAACGTGGTGCAGGGAGCTTAACTCAACCCAGGGCAGAAATAAGGATGTTCATTCAGCTTTCTTTACTTTGTGCCTAATAAACAAACCGCAGAGACACCAAACCTTTTGTTTTCCAGTTTCAGGCCGTATTGCTTCGAGTTTTCTGTCCTGTTGCTCTGATACTTGCGTGCATGTTTTCCTTTTATGACCTTCTCATATTGTTTGCACTTACTCCAGTTACAGCTGTGGGGGAACAGCCAACATCCTTTGCTGTGCTGTGTGCTGGATCTCCTTCTTGGAGGTGTTGTGTAATCCTCCCCACTGTTTCATGTAACACCTGTATAGCTGCAATGCTTCCTGTCAGTCAGGCAGGTGCAACAGCTTGTTAAGGTCTGCAAACACTCTCTTGTAACGGCAAACTATTTTACATATTTGGATGTGTGCAGGTGCCCTCCCCCCCGAAATGAAAATGACATGATGATTCTGTCTTTTTATCTTCTCCTTGATCTACAAAAAATATACAGTTAATAAAAACAACTTAATTCAGCACTTTTGACTCACAGCAAGAAGGTCGTGAGTCTGACTCCACCTCCTGGCTGGGATCTTTCTGTGTGGGGTCTCTCCAGGTACTCCAGCTTCCTCCCACAGACCAAAGACTTGCAGTTAGTGGAGAGTCCAGGGTGTACCCCACCTCTCGCCCTATGGTGGATGGGAAATTGTCATATCTGAGATTTTTTTATTTGTTACAAAAAGGATGAATGAAAAGCTTTTAAATGTGGTGATTCCATCACTTCTGTCAAGGGTTGACACAAATGTCTAGTTAGCAGTGATAAGTTTTAGCTGCATTCAGCAGAGATGAGCTTGCTGTTTGTGTGCTGTGCTTGCCTTGATTTGGTTCAGATTTCTGTGAACTACGGCACAAACAGTCGATTTTGCCATCATGTTGCATTTAAACTCTGATGTCAGACCAGTCAAACCACAGCAGATGTCTCGCTGTGCAAGCTTTTGCTGAGCTTCCACAAACTCCATAACCAGAAACATAATTTATCACCTTGCAGTAAGTTTGCAATCAAATGGGAGGCAGCGTTTGAGCCCTGTGAGTGTGGCGTCCACCTACAGTAAAAGTTGTTGTGATTTCTTCATGAGCCTTAAAGTCGACACAGATTTTATGTTTCAC